ACGCCGGCGGCGGCTGGTGGGGGGACATGGGCGAGGTGACTGTCGACTCGGGGTGGGACCCGGCCCAGCCTCTGGGGGGCCGCCCCGGTCCTGGCAGGACGCTCACCAGAGGAGTAGAGCAGCAGCCCCAGGCCCAGCACCGGCACCGAGTGCCCCCAGCCGATGAGCAGGAAGGCGGGCACCAGCGGCAGGATGGCCTGCGGGCGGGACACCGCAGCCTCAGCGCCGGCCCTCCTCCCACAAGCTCCCCGCCCCGCTTCGGGAGCCCTACCCGCTTCGCGGCGGCAAGTTCCCCGCCAGGGCTGATCCGCCGGGCGTAGGTGCCCTGGATGGCGGCCATGGTGAGGCCGATGAAGAAGAACATCTTCCCCTGCTGCAGGCTGGGCGCGAGGGTGTGAGTGTCCAGCCCCGCCGGCTCCTGACCACCCTGGGACAGCCCGGGGATGGCCGCGAGGGCGGACTGGGGCGGGTGCCGCCCCTAAGGCAGCGGTGCTAGGACGGGGAGGCGGCAGGGCGTCCTCAGACGGGGACCCACCTGCCGAACTGGAAGCGCTGGTGTGCCAGGAAGCTCAGGGTGAACTCCAGGCCCGAGAACAGGAAGAGGTAGAGGAAGTAGACCAGGCCCAGGCGGCGGAGGCTGCCAAGCCCTGGGGAGAGGCCGGGGACGGCGCTGGGAGGCAGCGGCAGGGTGGGGCCCTGCCCTGGCACCGGAGGGGACACGGGAGCAAACGGCTCCGGGCTGGCGGGGGCAGTCCCTTACCGTCGCTAGGGAGTGGGTCCCGGCTTCGGGCCAGGGCTGAGAAGCGCAGCAGGGCCAGGGGGCTGAGCAGGTCAGCAGCAGCCCGGAACCCCAGGGCGACGGAGGGTGCCTGTGGGATGGCATCGGGGAGGACGGAGGCGCCTGTTGGGCGGGTGGCAGGGGCCCACAGGAGGCAGGGGCAGCTGGCCGGCCTGGTCGCCCAAGGGCAGGCACCGTGGCCCTGAAAGCCTCCCGCCAGAGAGGGCAGCCCAGCCTCCCCAGGCGTCTGGGACCGGCGCGGACAGGCACATGCTCGGCCCGTGGACACGGGCTCCAGCCCCTGGGCCTGTGAGTCCTGGGCCCGGCCCTACCCTTTTCTCCGGAGGTAGCGTCTCTGGCAGGAAGCAGAAGACGAACAGCAGGTCAGAGACCGCGAAGAGCAGGGCGAACCAGGGCGCCACCTCCACGGGCAGGGCGGCCCCGAGCATGGGGCCCAGGGTGAAGCCCAGAGAGAAGGCCGCCCCGATGACTGCCTGGGGAAAAGGCCCTCTGAGCTGGCAGGGAGACCCAGGCCCAGAGGTCCCGCCCGGACCCACGTCCCCGGCCTGGGCACTCACCATGCCTTGGCTGCGGGCAGGAGGTGAGCCCAGGTCAGCAACTATGGCCGTGCAGAGGCTGACGTTCCCCTTGCTAATGCCCCCAATCACCCTGGAGGCCAGGAAGGCCGCAAAGCTCCGAGAGGTGGCCCACACGGCATACGAGGTGGCCACACCAGTCTGCCCAGGGGCAGGGGCCGAGGGGCAGGGGTGGTCACTGAAGGCCAGGAGGGCCCAGAGTGGGGCTGCCAACCCAAGCAGCACCCCTGGGACCCTGGCCTGTCCTGAAGCCCCCAAGGGCCACTTGTGTTCCCGGTGGCCAGAAGCACCCGCACCCGGAGGCACTGCTCCCCCAAGTGACACCCTTCTGGAAGTGCCGAGGGCTTTCCAGTGGCCAGGAGCGCCCGCCCCCGCCCGCCCAGCTGCCAAGCCTCACCCCGCAGGGCTGCTCCCCCGTGGGCACCCAACTCCAGGGACGTACCAGGGACAGCAGCATCATGGGGCGCCTCCCCAGGCAGTCGGAGAAGGCCCCGGTGAGCGGGGCAGAGAGGAACTGCAGGGCAGAGAAGCCGGAGCCGATCAGACCTGAGAGGCAGAGGTGGCCGTCAGGCGGCCGCGTGGGCCCCGGACCCGGAGCCGCGGGGGCCCCAGCGGAGGGATGAGAGGGTACGGGCGCCGCACGTGGAGGGCCGGCCGGCGCCGGGAGCCAGCCCGTGCGGGCAAGGATGCCACCCCGATGGGAGCCCCGAGGGCGAGGAGGGCAGGATCGCCTCTGAGGTGCCCCGTGGGCCGTTTCCGCCGGGGTGGGCCCCCGGGGCACCCGCGGGCCGCACCTCCGAACAGGACGCTGTTGTATCGCTTCTCCCCCGGCATCCCGATGGCGGTGGCC